TTTTCCTAATAAACAATTACCGAGAAAATGATCGGAACAAATGTAATTTATGTGGACAAGCAAATGCGTTGCGATGTAGCTACGTTATGAGACAGGCTCAGCACCTCCATGTACTGAAAGAGGAAAGATCAAGAGTTATTATGCTCAAGAGGATGAGGACAAGGTTGTCACCATTCAGCACCATTCCCCTACATTGCCAGGGGCAGGCACATTTCCATACGGCTGGTAACATTAATTAAGATTGCCTTTTAGGGAATTCCTGTAGGGATCCACACTATCCCCCAAGTTAAACACTGCATAAGCAGAAACATGCAAACAGTGCAGTTTTAAAATTTGTGAGGCAGAACACCATCCCACCTACATCAAAATAAGTAAATAAGAGATGAAAGGAGAAGAAACAAAGCCACAGAGAGAAGAAATATGAAAATCACATCCTTTTAGTAATATCTTTACTGTTGTTCATAGATATGGTCCAGCATCTACCTACCTACCTGTTTCAGACAAATGCTTGTTTGTTTTTTGTTTGTTTTTTCCTATCAAGAAAAACAAAAAGGAATTCAGAAAATAAAAGTAAAGCAGACATCAGTGAGGGCTGCAACTGCCCTACAAACAATATCCACTCAGGACAGTCATTGACCATATTTCAACCTGCAGCCTTCTGCATTTCTTCATTTCTTCCTTTTCTCAGAGGTTATGATACTTCCTCACTTTTTGGTTTCTCCCCATTCTCATTAAATGATACTAAACCTCATTTTTTGATAAAAATCTCAGCCTGAGTCTACTGCAAAGGGACTGCTCTCCTGACTTGGCCTCTTCTGCTTCCATAATAAAATGGGGAGAGAAAAAAAAAATGCAAAAGCAGAACTGGTAAAATCAAATGCCTTATTAGGAGAGTTTCTCTAGTCTTCTAAAACCTTCACAAGTTTTATTAAAACAAGTTTTACAGACTGGTCCTGGGAAGCTGACACAGCTGGTGGGGTGGAGGAGTGGTGGCACAAGGGAACCCCAAGGTTTGCACTTGCAGCCCTTGCCAGAGGAAAGGAGGGAGGTGAGCATCGCTGTGCTCCAGCAACGTCTCAGCAATGCATGGGCCCCTTGAGGGCTGTTAGAGGTTCATAAAAATCAGATTAGGTCAGCTACAGCTAGGGAAGCATGAGCCATTGGGCTGCTGTTGAGCAGTGTCAAAGCCACCAACACTCACCTTTGCCCTTTCTCCTGTGGTGACAGTGCTCAAATACAAATACTGGATCTCCTTCTAACCTGGTTTTGGAGACTTTCAGCTCCTGTAAATCTTCATCACAGACACCTGCATAACCTCAGGGCTACTGCATGCATGCTACGAAGAAAAGCATGGTCTGACCTTAAACAGTGCTGTAGTCTCCTGGGCTTACTTCCAGTGCCTCTGTATGTGTTCCCAATTTTGGGCAAGCTTGAATTTTCCACTGGCTTTGAACACACAAATAAACCAGCTCACCAGCTTCAGAAGCACCCGTAGACTCATAAGCAGTTAGCTGCAGCTGTCATTTTACACAAATGTTTCTCACTGTGATCAACTGGAAATGCAATGTGCTCCTCGTTGAAATCATGCTTAATTGCAGCCAATTCCGGTGCTATCAGAGGAAACGTTTGCACATTTCCTTATCGCAGACCCACTGGCAGACACTGGTTTCCCATTTATTTCATACTCAGTTCAAAGCTGCCTTCCTTGAAATTCTCCACAGACTGTTTCCAGTCATCTTCACAGATCTTGTGCCCATGCTAGTTTCCATTGAAGTCACTAGGCAAATTTCCATTGATTTTAATTGGACAGGCTGTTTAACCTTTTTTTCCTCTGGTAATGAAACATGCTAAGAAACAATTCAAAACCACATAGCTTGGGTCTCTTATTTTATGGCAATACTGAACGTCAGCTCATGTCCATCCTATGTTTCACAGAGATTTACAAATAACCACACTTTTGTGCATTTTTCTCTTGATATGTACACCACTTGTGAAACTGAATTTTGTTCTGAGATTTGTTTGAACAGGACTTTTGAAAACAAACAAAAAAAATACTCTGCATTATATATTATACTGAGATATAACGTATCATATCTTGATTAGTTTGTCTAGTAGTCCCTTCCCTGACCCCAGGCATAATAATATAATTCTCACATAATTATGAAAATGGTAGAACATACCACAAGTGTTCAGACTGTGAAAGTTTATTCTTATATTTTGTCTTAATGCTGTCCAAAGTACCAGACTATCTGAATCCCCAGACTTGCTTCTATGCAATGGAGAATTATAGGAGGGTGAAAAAAGGACATCTACATGGTCCTCATCCCTCTCAAGCTAATTGGAAATAAAAGAACAGGAAGATGGCTGGAGAAGTCCTGTCAGGTGGCAGTGGTTAAGGAGACTTGCCGAGTCCCACAATGAATTGTGCCTCAACTCCAGGCATCTCCCAGGGCTGGCACTCCCTTCCTGCCTTCCCTTCCCTCTTGGGAAGGAGGATTCCTTATCTTTGTCAAGTTCTATGAATATTTTGCTTGCAGTGTTAACAAAGGTCTGATTTCACTCAAGGGCTGTGACTGAGCCTATTCAGGGTGGTTATTATGACTGCAGTAGCATACGCCAAGAGTAAGATGCCTTCCATGGTAATGAAAAGAAAACCACAACAAAAGAAGTCCAGAAAGTTCAAGTCTACCTCAGATTCACTGGTTTCTGTGCTATTCTTTCATGCTATTCATTTACTCACAATGAACTGCTGCAGAATTTAAACACATTTGCTCTGTTTTTTCCTCTATACAAAACAAGGTTGATTCAATGAAGAAAAAAAAAAAAAAAAAAAAAAAAAAAAAAAAAAAAAAGCCAGGCTGTCTCTTTGAGATTCAAGTATCTTGATACAGATACTACCCAACAGATAAGTGAAGTTCATTAATTACCTGGATTGCTCACAAAATTAAGTCCTACCAGCATCAAGTTCCAAAATCTTTGTCTCTGAAAGAGCAGTACTTAATAGGCAGTACTGAATATTTAATATTCCTCTCCATCCAACAGAATGTTTATTGCATAGGTCTGTCATGATATGACTGGATTAGATTAAAAAGCTAACCATCTGTAAACTGAACCATGTTTTTAATGGAAAAAAAAAAAAAAAAAAGCTAGTAATTGTGTGGTGAAGTAAACCAAAACGTTAACTGCTTACAGTCACGTATTTCTGGGCTAGTGGATAGGGTGATGCAGATAAGGTCTAATAAAATATTTTTACTGATAGCAGAAGTGTCATTGATAGAACTGGAAATTAAATTCCAATGGTAAAATACCGAGAAAAAAGTGATGGTAACCAAACCTGAAAGAATGACATTTCTCTTTCTGGTTTAAGTCCAGGTGATGTGAACGAGCATGTTAAAACAAAGCTGAACAAACAAAAACTATCATCACATGCCTCATAAAATGTGGAGCTCATGGCTCATAGAGCCTTCCTTAATACATAAGGAAATCAGTACTGGTTTTAATCTAATATATCCCAAAATTAGGTTCTCAAAGTCACACAGAACAGTCCTGATGAGACCCCCCAACTTTTGCTTCTTACTCTCCAATGCAAAATGTCCTCTCAAATGCCATAATGAGAACTTGCAGGAATGAGACTCTGGGGAATTTCTGAAGTGTTAGAAACATGCAACTATTGTGGATTAGTATTCCACACAGAGCCATCATTTGCAGTGTTTGCACTCTTTTTAACATTCCTTTTAAATTAAAGGCACAATAGGTAAGCTGGCAGCATGCAGATGGCTTAAAGAGTTTAAAACATCCTTATTCATAGTTTTAATATAACAGAAGCTATTTAGAACCCAATTTTTGTGCTCTTTGAAAGGTAACGGGATTTGTTCTGAACACTAAATTCAGCAGGAAAACAGCAGGTAATTTGGATTAATGGGTTTGCATATTTTAAATACAAATAGTATGAGTTAATAATATCCCTTTAGATATTCAAACATACCTTGAAATATAGACATCTAGCTGTGTAGGAAAGGCTACAATGGAACAAAACTGTAATCACTATGGAATAGGCATGGCAGAAACGTGCCACTTAGAAGAGTCCTGAAGTAGATCCAGGAGAGCGCTGTTGCACTCAAATGCATGCAGCTAGGGGCAGATGAAAGATGCAGACACTATTCAGTAGGGCACTTTTTGGTAGAACATGGGAAGTTGAAGTGCATAAAGGTAATCAGACATTTAACAAATTAATAAATTAATAATAATAATAATAAAAAATCTAAAGCCTGTGGAGTCTGTCAGCAGCAAACACTGAAGGAAGGCTGAACTCATGCTATAAAGGTATCCCTTCCACTTGTAATTGTAAGTCCAGCCCCATCTTCAGAGGCTGATTGAATTTCTGAGAAAATAGTATGCATTTGATATATTCTGGTTTATAGTCTGCTGGTTTCCAGAAGTGATGGTCCAGGTTTCCTTTCCCTCTCTGTCTGAAGAGGATCTAACATGTCAGAGGAAAACATACTGCCAAAGAGCAATGGGCCATAAACTGTAAAGTCAGCCAGAGATGGAGGATACTCTTTGCTTAGAGTAATGCAGGGATTTGGGGGTTTCCTCTTATCTCACTATTGTGTCATTTTACCAAAGGCAACTGCTGATGTTGCCACTTTGAAAGAAAAGATCATAAAGCCAACCTTGAGTAGACTTGTTGCCCACCACAGCCCATCCTGCATGTAGGGAAAGAGACCAGCTCAGGTGGATAATGTGTTGTCTTCTCCTTTGAGGGCAGTTCTAGGTATGGAATATTAGCATCAAAGGCAAGGTGACACATTCATTTCTTTCTCTATCTTGGCACCTTAAAAAATTCCCATCCCTTCCAACAGTGTTTAAGTTGCTGACTGTAGGTGCCTATGAGCACATTCACGATGGAGCATCACAAGTTCTACTTACTAAATAGTACAGTGCCACAATCTAGGGAGGAAAAACCAAACAAACAAACAACAATCCAAACATAAACTTACCCTATTATCTTGCTGTCAATTATCCTTGATGGGTAATTGCACCAGTGGCCAGGGGAAAATGCTGGCAGGTGTAATTGCTGGCTTCTTTTTCTGAGGTTATAACCCCAGACTTGCACACCCTGTCATCAGGTACACACACACACAAAACATTGAATAAATTATGAGCTTCTGCCCTGCATAAATAAGGAAGCTTTTAATTGAAACTGGATAATTTTACTTGCTAAAACCATTTTACTTCCACTGCTTCTCTAACCGTGCTGGGTGATGGGAGCAAAGATCTTTACAAACCATGTGGTCTCTTGTTAAAACATACAGGTGCTAGTACAGAATATCATAAGGAAAACCATTTATGTGGAAAAATGTTGCATGCTGAGTTGACAAGAATCTACTTGTGCATATTACAAAAAAGTACAGGGTAGTTTAAAACTGACAATCCATTACTAGAAATCCATCTTTTGCTTAGGATGATAAACCAAGATTGAATTATAGATTTCACAGCAGCAATTCCCACATTCTGCATTTAAATCCACACCTTCTGCTTCCCCAAAGCTTTTTAATCCATTCATTTGAAATGAATGTTCATGCTCAAAAATTGCCTCAGTTTATGAACATTTTCATTTTAGGAAATGCAACAACACAATCCCCCAAATTGTTCAGAAACCTTGTTAAAAGGAGCACTGTCATCAAAACCTAATTTTCAACACTTATTTATTTATGGTCAGCTTGATTTGTAAACAAGTGCATGCCCCAAGTGTACAGCTGCATTTCCTACTTAATTCAAATTTGCTGAGTGCGTTCAGATGTAGTCATACTTTGGGCCAGATTCTGATTTTAGACACTTGCATGCATGTATGACTGGACACGAAGCCCTCCTAATCCAGTTTGCCTCACAAATAAATGGTATGTGTTTGCTAACCACATTCTCCCACTAAATTATATTTGTCTTATATGAAGCGATTTAAAATTGAGATTTCCATTCACTGTACCATGATCATCACTGTCTCTCGCAGTTCAACAGCTGTAAATATTGGCCACTTTCTTCAAACTGATTTTACCCCAGAAAGGGATACCAGCACAAGCCCAAATCCTGATTGTTGCTGTTTTCTGCTCATTTCACTTTGATAATTCAGCATTAATAAGAACACTTCAACCAGTCAAAAGCTTGCTGGACTGAGCAGCCTGGGCCAAACCTCGTGTCACTCTTCCTAAATAGCTGGCCCAAACTTGCAAACAGATGTGTGTGTGGGAGAGAGAAAGACTTCCTAACTCTCAGCAATAAATCTGAAAAAAAGTTCAACATTCAAACTCCACCAAATGTTAATCAGTCTGCCACCTTTTGTTGTTCTTATGAATGACTGTAGTCAGGCTATTTAAAGCAAGTGATGCATTCAGTTGTTGATTGTAAGTGCCCATTGAGGGCACCTCAAATGAACCACAAACTCCCTTCAGTTCTCATTCCCCCTTCCCAGCAAAGGGCTGGACAGACTTTAAGAAAGTACAAGAAGTTCATCGACTAAGCCAACAGAGTCCTTCAGAAATTATTATTGGGGCAATCTTGGAGAAAAGAGGAAACACAACTATTTTAGTAACTTTTATTTCTCATCCAAGCCTACCGTGGCTCTACACTTGTTCTCAGACCCCAGCAGCAGTCACACATCCTGAAGCAAAGACTGCCCAGGCTCCATCCCCGGGTAGCCACTGTTCCTGTGTGTCCCCTACCCAAGCCAGGGAAGAGGTGTTCTGTGTGAGGAGAAGTGACTACGCTCTTACTGCAGTGGTCAGTATTTTTATTTTTATTTTTCCTCCACAAAGCCAGAAGTGCTATTCCATATCTCAGACTTTTTCCTACCTGTTCAATCTCTCTGCTCAGGCACAGCCAGAGGTTGTATGCCATCATCCCATAAGTGTTATTTTATATGCTAGAAAATCTATTTCAGCCCCCTACATAAATATTGAAGTACTGGTCTTGTGGAGATTCATGAATGATTTCAATTTAAACAGCCAGTCCCAGTAATTTCAGAGGGCTTATTTGCAGAGTGTAAAAGCAAGTACGGTCACATGCATTGGCCATGCAGTGCAATAAATGGCTCAGTTCATATGTGCCAAAGAAATGTAAGAAAGCACCTGTACTATCCTCTGGAAAGCCCATATGACCATCTGCAGGATTTGATCAGAAATTAAAAGGAAAACCATCTTTGTGGAAACAGAACAAGGTTGGTGTTGCCAGAAGATGTGACAGTCTTCGTCTTCTAAGCTTCTGTTTGTGAGTCTTTCTGCTTCATATTCAGAACAGGAGGATACAGAAAGGTGCCACCACTGGCACAAATGCCTTTTGTATGGCCCTGGCCATGAGCAGTGGCTCTGAGCTCATAGCCCCAAGGGGGAACAAGAGCTTTCATCGACAGGACATCACTGTGAACCCTCTGGAGCCTCTCCCAGACAGAAGAGCACTGCACAGCCTGGGCTGAGCTAGGCAGAAAAGTTAGTACAAGTGATGCAAAGCTGAACAGTATATCAGCATGACAATGCTATCTCAGCCCATGTCATTAGCTAAATATATAGAGAGAGTTTATGTATGCATACATGTAAGCCAGAACACTGAGGCCTTAGGGATACATAATAAGTATTTTTACCAAGAACAAACATCCATACCTAAATCTGAATTTATACAGTCTAAATTTATACAGTCTAGAAGCATTAGTTATGTAAACAGAAAACATATCAAGCAACATTTCTGCCAGACTGCCATACTGGACACACAAAGTGGCTTAACAACACGAGTCTACTCAGCCTGTCCAATTATATCCTGCAACTGTTTCATCTCTATTTCATTTCAAACCCTGTCACCTGCAGCTTGTGGCAGAAAGGTTTTTTCCGTAAGTGAAGGTGAGCAAACTCCATCTCCCTGAAAATGGTAGAAACAAACACTTTTTTGGTCATTTTTCCTGCTTTTAATTGGAGCTGCATTCACCATCTCTGTCTAATCACTCCATCCTCAACATACGCACCAATACCCTAAGCTCCTTATTTGCAGGCACCACAAAATACATGTTAATGAATCAACCCCAAGATGTAAGAGTTTTTGGCAGTAGTTTTCACAACAGCCAGCTTGTATTTGTTTTTAATCAATGTGTAACAAAAAATAATAATTAAAAATATTAATGATCTTAAAGCTGTTTCAGTAGAAGTGTTATTTATTTCAATTGAGATAATTCTGGAAAGAAAAAATAAATGTGATTTATCTCCATGTTCAGTGCACTTTCCAAATACTTTGAAATTTTAATTCCAGTAAAATATATTTCATCCAAAAAAGGATCTTCAAGTAAATGATATAAACATTGACTTAACATTTTCTTTTGTAAATAGCCCCCCAGATTAGTTAAAGAAGGTTGCATTTGTATTACTAAAGCTGCTTTTTAATAGGTAGCCCAAACACAAGAAAAGTGGTTGCCAGTTTCCCTTCTTGCTATTCCCTTATGAGTGAAAGATCTGATGCAGCTGCCTGTAAACATAGCTGCTGTAAGTACTAAGCAACCAGATTTGATTTCTAAGGAATTTTCTTCCACTGGCATTTAGGTACTACATCTTTGTAGAATGAGAGACACTTCTAGGCACCAGCACTACCTTTAACAGGAGCTTATAAGCTTCTCATTGAAGAGTCAGAACTACAAGAGCTAAAACCTGGCTCTTCATGCAGTCTGATTTAGCAGCCTCCGTACTTCACAAAATCAGAATTCTATTACCAAAGAAACCCTGCCAATGACATGATATTACACAGCATGAAATCACTCCGACATCTAATCTTCTAAGGGACTTACATGCCAGAAAGAATCAGGAAATCTATGCAGTCATCATTTCTCTCTTTTTTTTTTTTTTCTCCAGTTTCCAAGCTTAAAGCAGATATGAGTCTGTCTTCTGAACCCTGCATGTATTTCAGCATTGTTCAACATAAAGAACCTTTCTGTATTTGAAATCATGTTAGGATTATAAATTAATATTAAAAACAATTCCAACACTCTCACTGTCTTTATAAAGAACCAGAGGTCTGAAAATGTACTTGAAAGGAGGTGGATTACAGCAGATACAGATACAGTTCCTAGTATATTGTTTTTAGAAAAGTGGAATAACAATAAGGCCTGGAGGTATTCTCCATTTTCTACATTCTTTTCATAGCATTTTCTTACCCTTTGCAGTAGCACAAGCCCATCACATCCAGCTCTCATGAAGCTGCTGAGACTCAGCATTACCTGGAAGCACTTGTGACACCGAAACCAATCCACAGCCCCAGCTCTGCAGCTTACACCTGTGAATGCACAGTTACCATTTTTTCTATTAGAAATTGTAGAGAAGAAAAAAAGAAAAAAAGGTCAGTCCCAGAAAAATAATACAATAGGTTATCTATGTGACTTTTAGTCAAGCTTAATCCTTCCTTCTTGAAGGAATCTGGAAACCCAGATACCCCAGTCACAACTGCTGGAGTTAGGCAGACTCCCCGCTGGATGTGGGAGAGCTTAAGCATCCTCAGGGACAGGGAAACACTGTTCTCCACCATCACAGAAATAGATGAAAATGGGCTAAATCTGTATCTGCCAGTTTTCAGAAGCTTTTTTTTTTTTTCTTGAAAGAAGTGACCTGCCTAGCAGAAGAAATAGCCTGAAAGAGTTCCAGCTCGGTACTTCACCTCCTTGTCCTCTTCACCCTTTGTGGGAGCTCACCCAAGTTAGAAGCTACTCAGCAACACTTGGTGAGATGTTTGGCAGCTGTTCACACACACAAGAAGTGTTTTGAAAAACCTGCAAAAGAAATGCTGTCAGTTCCCAGGTACATTTTCCAGAGCAAGGCAGTCACTGTGCCAAGATTTTAATGAAGGAAAGTGAAGATCTCCAAGAGAAACAAAATCAGCTGAAGGAAATCTAAGGCAAGTGGTTAAACTCAGTCATTTTGTCCTAGACTCATCAAGGTTTGTTTGTTTGGTTGGTTAGTTTGGTTTTATTTGTGTTTTGTTGTTGTTTGTTTCTGTTTTTAAACTCTGAACCAAGGACTCAAAACATAAAATAAAACAAGTAATCTGTGAGGATTCCCAGGGAAGAAAGCTGATATTCACAGAAATTAAGCTGGAAATATTTTTAAAAATTGCTTTTAATATATTATTTGTATTAGTGCACTCTATACCAAATAGCATAAGACACACACGAGAAAAAAAAGATGACTAGATGCACGTGTTAAGGTCATGTTACTGTTGGGTCATGCTTTTATGCTACATAAGCCCAGTGTCATTGCCTGACTCAGCTCTGAAGAGAACACGTGTCCCAGTAATGCCAGTACACACCAGCCTGCAGACAAATGCTTACAAAACGTAATAGATATATAATGCATGCCAAACTGGAGCCTTGAATCTCTAAGTAAATACCACATCATTTTGATCTGTTAATAAATAAGCCCTGTCCCGCTTAGTCCTGAGCATGTCATTAGGGAGACAGAAGAGCACCACGTGGGGGAAGGCAGGCGTGAGGATAGCGTCTAGTGGGTCAGGGGCACGTCAAGGATCCCGTACTGTAGCAGCTGTCCCTCTGCACAGACACACATGATTGAAGATATCAGTGTGGATAATTCATACTTCAGAACTTCTATGGTACCTTTTTATATAACCAAACTCAAAGAAATAAACAATATTTAATTAATTTAATGTATAAGATGAGGAGTTACACTGGCAGATTGCAGCTATAGCCTTTAATCTTCATTATGGATTCAAACACGAGCATCTAAAGTAAGATTCAAGTGGAATGAAATTCTTTTTGTTTAATGGATAATAATCAAGTAACACGTAATCCCTTATAGCAACGGTTCTGCAACTACTCTGTCCATTTTATGTGCATAATATATCTTAATGGGCTTTACAGCAATTTAGGCCACAAGACGAAGCATCTGGCAAAGACTAATTTATGAGAATGTCACTCATGAGTAACGTATACCATCCACAGAGATGAAATATTTGATGGTACAGGCACTCAATCTTATAGGTATCCGGAAGTCCTGTAAATACTCTTCAAAAGATGAGAATTTCTAGAAGAACAAGAAAGCCTCCCAAATGCTGTTACACTTTATAGCATTACTTATCTTTCAGTTGTTATCCTTTCAAAAACACTTATTTTTCACTCATTAATAAGATTATCTCACATTAATTAAGCTATTGTCTGCTTCTTTCCTAGATATTCTTGCATGAAATCAGCTCCCTACAGCTTGTAGGAATAAAGCAGTCAGCATGTAAACAGCATTATTAGGATTTTGAATTAAAAGTGATTTCAAAGATAAATGTAATATTTTGTTAATATAAACGCAGCCCACATATTCCAGTCATTTAATAGAACAGTGAGGAAAATCATAATTTCAGCGTACGTGTGCAGGAATGACAAGCTGTGGTAATCACAAGTGTATAGAAAAATATGATTTGTTTTCAGTTTTCATTCTAAGTACATGCAAAGTAAAGATACTAGTCTGGGATGCATTTGTTTTGGAAAATCATGACTACACTTCAGTAAAAACAAAGTTACTTCCCATTGTTTTAAACACATATACAAGCACATGCGCTATTTGTGTATTACTCACACTGATCTACAAAGTTCTGGCAGAAAAAAATTAACACATTCTTTAAAGGATATTAAATTTCCCAACCAGATCCAGATGTTGAACAGTCTTACAACAAAAATAGTCAAAAAGCATGAATGCTGTATGAAAGGACAACCTGAGGTTTTTCAGCTCACAGTTCAAAAACACCCTGAGAAAGTATCACCCACAGCTTCAATAACTATTTTATCTACACACTTCATAGCTGCTCAGCTAGAGTTGTGTCTGAAATTCACATGTGTACCAGCACATCCCTCTCTTCTATACCATCTTCAACAGACTTAGAAGGGTGATGGGTGGTTAAAATTACAAACTCTTTCCTGTATTCTGGTCTGAACAGCTAAGAAATTAGATAGAAATTACAAGGTTTGCCATCCCCTCAGTGGGGAGCAGGTACTACAATTTCACTCCCTTTGACCCTTTTGGATCTAATCTGTGGCATCACACTTGATGCACTTCTTCTGGGTCACATTCTACCATTTTGTATTGTTTGCAGTATAATCTTGCTAGCAGGATTTTCATGGTTAATTTAGGTTTGAGGGTTGTTTTTATTTATTTTTAATGAATGTGTGACCAAGCCATCTCCCTCTTCATCTGCTCCGTAGATTTATTTTGTATTGGGCTACATCTGTTTCAGTACCTTAACTGTTCCAATCTGAGGACTATTGACATTTTCATTATGTGTGAGTTGACAGTACATGGCTATATTAAGGGATTTCCAACTATACAGGGATTGGGGGTGGGATCACTCTTTGCAGATATTTTTAGTAGATTATGCTCTTCAGTATAGCAAAATGACAAGGCAAAAAAAAAAAAAAAAAAAAAAAAAAAAAGTAACATTTTAGTCAGTGTAAGAGGCTACAAAAAAAAATCACAGCATCCTTGTGAAATAAGCACTGGCTGGAGAACAAGGTACGTGTTATTAATATATATCAGTATCTATATTCCAGAAGGAGATAGCCAAAGACTATAATTAGCTCTGAAGCTAAAGTACGAGCAGCATAATAATAACTGTTAGACTAAAAAGGAATGTAATGAATAAAAGCTCAATTCACAAAGGAATACAATGTTAATATTGAAATTTGGACATGTTAGAATGGTGAGTTGTAAAAGAGGAGCATTTAATGATACTGTCTTTGCAATTTATTTAGAGTAGATATGAAAAAACAGTTATAATTTACAAGAACAGGTAGCATTTTATACATGTTTTACGATATAGCCTATCAAATCAATCATTGCCTTCAATTCTGCTTCCAGTGTACAGATATGCATGCACTGTGCTGCACAAATACACACACATTTAAATTATGCTTGCCATTTTCCTATAGTATTAAAAAAAACAAAACAAAACAAAACAAAACAAAACAGAGAAAACAATGTTGGAACAGATAGACAACAAAATTCACATATCTCTGCTTGTTTTCCATATCTGACCTTGAAAGACTGCTTACACATGATGGTCAGTAAGTACCTCCCTCATTCTTATTGATAAATTATTTACACATTCCTATTCAAAACTAAGGCTTGAAAAAACGGGCAGAGGGAAGGAAGCCAACCATTATTTTGAATAAAAAGAATTAAATCAAAAATTGTGAGCTAACAAACTGCAGTCACATTCTTCTCCTAGTGTTCTATTACCTCTCTTTTGATTTTACCAGTCACTTACTATTCAACACATTAAAAAAAAAATTTGTCACTACATATAAAAGCTTCCACACTTTTGACCTGGCCTACATATTTATTCTTCTTCCTCCAGAGTCTGTACTGAACTGAACTTGTTTTTTTGTTTTTTTGTTTTTTTAAAGTTTCTTTGTCTGTATCTGCATTAGTATTTTCACAACTTTCTTTACACTATCATCCTGTCACCTGCAGCTGAAGTAATCTATTTTTCTCTACCAAATATTCTGACTGACCACATACAAATCTCCCTTAAAAAAAAAAAAAAAAAAAAAAAAGTTTAATAAATCACTGTTCCTCACCAGTGTTAACAACAAAGTTTTTTTTATTTACATGGCAACTTGCTAGGAACTTTATGGATAAGTTTCCTCCCTCCACCTTATAGACATTAAAAAAATTACTTAAGTGTAATTCATGCAGGAAGGTTCTAACAATTTGGGTTAAATTCAGTTGAACACAAGTTCCTGCCTATTTATCAAAATAATACATTCTTAAATCTGAACTAAGACTTTTTACCTGGTTGTCAAGAACAATTAACTACATTGGCCATATGAAAGCAGATTAGCGAAACGTGTACATATGGAGTGGGCAGAACTACAGAACACAAGACGTATCACCCATTTTTCTACATGACACTGCACCTTAGGATGCAAGACAGCAACACATCAAGTCTACTATTTATATCCAAAAAGAGCCCAGAAGCTTCAGATTGTCTCCAAAATTCTGGGGACCATCTCATTTGAGACCAAATATTATATGTATAAAACCAGCAAAAAAGTGGATTAAAATATGCAACGTATTTTGAGAGTCTATCAAGGATTCACGCTACAGCAGCATGGAAGATTGGCAAGGAGGACTAGAAGTTAAAATAGCTGTAGACAAAGCAATTAGCATCTTTATCATGTAGATATTGATCCAGCTGATCTCTGTTAACAAACCTTCCAAAAACGAGATAGGAAGGCACTCACTTATAATGCTAGATGAAACAGGCAACAGCAAAATAATCAATTAAATGGAGTCATGTGATGCCCACTTTGAGCATTAAGAAGGAGTGGAGAGATCAAATGAAGAAAAAAATGATAATTTACAGTTGGGAAAACTCTCTAAGATGTTTATTTGAAGTCAAAAGTGATAACGTAATCCCATGAAGCAGGAACAATCAGCATCCTGGAGGGATGAGAATGATCCTCTCCAACTTGAGAAGAGCCTTTCCCCGCCTCACTCCAGGAGCCGGGCTGTATCAGCCCTCACTTGTGGTGGTTGCTGTAACAGCAGGAGCTCTGTCCAATGCCGACGTGAACAGACAGAGCCAAATACTCCACATAATGAGATCCTATTATCTGGAGAAGCAAGGGCTGATTGCCAAAATTAGTGTGTCATCACCCCCTCCCCCCTTCTAAGGCTCCTAACAATATTTGTCTCTCTTTCACCCCATCTCCTCGCAATATACATTACTACCATCATACCTTGTCAGAGCCTAGATCCTATTTGC